TTTTTACTTGTACATGAACTTTAATGGCATCCCAGTCTTAGTCCATATAAGTATAGGCATTAGGTCCAGGGTTATGTTGGACCTCTATATATATACACACACACACACACACACACACACACACACACACACACACACACACCTTTGGCTGTTTATGGGTCCCATTTGGTGCTCATTATCCATGACTGGGCAATTTATGATCTGCTTTATAACAGAACTGCAAGCAGTGATGTACAAGTTATGCAGAAAAGAATGAAACTGCACCACAAATATGCCTGTAATCTAAAACAATCCTCAACCTTTAGGCTGGGTTCACACCTAGGCGTATTACGCATGCACGTCTGTCGCGCGACCGTCACGCGTTTTTTTACCGCGATTCGCGGTAAAAAAAATCGCGCGACCGTCGCGCGATTCTGAAGGCTACTTGGCTGTATCCCAATGGAAAACGCCCTCCAAAACGTCCCAAAGAAGTACATGTACTTGTCTGGGTGTCAGCCGTTTTGTAGGGCGTTCAGACGGGCGGAAATACGGAAAGGTGTGAACCATACCCATAGAAAACAATGGGATTTTCATGGTTGTACGTTTTGTAGAGCGTTCATAGAGCGTTGAACGCCCGACAAAACGGAAAGGTGTGAACGGGGCCTAAGAGACCAAAAGGAATTCATGTATAATTAACAGGATAACTAGGCTTCAAACAATAACACAGGAAGGTAAACACAATGTAGTCTGAACAAAACAAGAGATTGTTAAGGTCAACGGGACTATTTAGTTGCTACTGTTACAAAGTAATTTGGTATCTCACCTCCTCTGGGCACATCTCGTGGGTGTAATTGGAGAAGTGAGAGCAGGCCATTGGAAATGAAATAGAGTACCGTAAAGCAGAGGGTTCTTCCATTGTTAGTGAGAACATCTTCTCAAATGTGCGGATATGAAAACTAGGAAAAAAACACAGATCAGAAAAGTAATAACAAGATAAAGATAAAATTAAAGATATCGGATACATGATGTCCTAGATGTACACAAAAAGCCTGAAAATTCTTGTCAAACATACAACTCAAAACACGTGGGGGGGGGGG